GCTGGATCATTGAGTTAAACGCCAAGTCAGTGTGTGTCAGTGTACGGTAGTGCTGATCGTGTATGCCCACGGGGGTCAGTGTTTGATGTCTGCTTCTGTTGTTTTTCTGCAGGAGGAACGTGGAACAAGAAGGACAGCACGCACAGGGTGTGCAGAAACACGACAGCGGAGAGAACGAGCATGGACGTCGGAGTGGGACACACACACGGGAGTCTGCTGAATAGACACTTGTGTAGACATGCACAAAAATATGTAAAAGGGTATACATACATGAGTATGCATGTATGCACATGTAGATATGTATGTAGGCACTTGAAAATGTGTGTGTGTGTACATAGACGTGGGTGTAGGTGTGTATATATACGAGCAAGATGCACTGTGTATCTCCAAGTGGAAAAATTACATTTTAGTAACTTCACATAGCCCTGGATGAATTCCCCTCCCCCCCATATTTTTTTTCTTTCATTTAGTTGTTTACTTTTCATTTTTCCCCTCTTGTTGTGTCTGTGTAAATGTTAATGTTCCTGTTCCTAAAAATGAATTAAAAATCAAGTGGAAAAAAAATTAAGAGACCTATTTTCCAGGCCACTATATCCTAGAAAATTTCCAAGTGCCATAGATCATTAGGGGGGAGTTACCATTAATGAATGTGGCTGTTGATGGTACCTTACTCAGGGTTGCTAATTGTAAATCCTAACAATGCATTATCTAGCAGACTGTGAGGTAGTGAGGGCTGGGTGAATTCCCCACCACTGGCTTAAATCTGTTTCTGTTAACCTATTGTGGTAATACTCAGAGACTCAGACTCTTTGAACAGAGGGTCTGTCCAGACTTCTGTTTAGGGGCAACTTGTAAAATCCACTGATGCAAGTGACCCTTCCAACCTTAAAAAATGCCCAACAGATAGAAAAAATCGTGCAAAATTCATGAAAATTCATGAAATTAAAGTCAGATAAAGCAAAAATTACTGGTTACTGGTTCAGAGATGCTGCATCCAGGTGTCAAATCACCCGTCAGAAACCGGAGGGTGATTTTTGATTCTAATTTCATCTTTGGGAAACACATAAGAAATGTTACCCAGGCTTGCTAATATCACCCAAGGATACATTCAATGCAGAGAATTTATTCCCTCCTTCTTTGTCTTATATTACCTTATCTCAGAGATTAAACGTGTAGTTATACTTCTTCATGTTGACAGATATTGGAGTTTTGCTGGTCTGGCCCACATAAGATCAAAGTCAGCTTTATGTATGAATGAGCTTGACATCCCTGCTCTTGGCAGACCTCCTTTTGCCCTCAGGTCTGCTGGGGCTGACTAGATCCTGTACTAGCTACAGTCAGATGCAAATGTGCCCTCAAAGTGGATTTTAAGCAACCTCCAAAATTGTATTGTAAGAAAAGCAACTACTGAATGCCAGTGTTGGGTAAGTTACTTTAAATTAGTAACTTAGTTACATTACTAGTTACTTCTATCAAAAGTAACTTAGTTACTTCAAGTTACTCGTTACTTTCAGAGTAACTAGTTACTAGGGAAAGTAACTTTGGTTTTACTCAGAATTCTCTTGTTAATGTGTTGCTTCCGTAACTGGATACCCAGCAAGATTGCCAGTCTTCTAGCTTGCTTACTTGCCACAAGTGCACTGTGCCACCTACCAATAGAAAGGAAAAA